AAACCAAAAGTATAAAATAATAAAGTAACATAAAAATAATAAAATAATATATATTTTTCCAATGTAAATATATAAAATAAAACAAAATTAATAAAATATATATATAATTAATTGAGTTGATGTTTATTAAAAGACATGATTGATTCAATTCCCAACTAATCAACACCCCTATTAAAGGGGTGCCATTGGCACTCCCCATATTTTTTGTGAAAAAATAAGTTTGATTTGAATATAATTTAATAAGAAAAATTATAATTAAATACCTAAAATACCCTATAATAAAGTAATCAATCTAATAAACATTTCGTAATAATTGTAGATGAATAAAAAAAAAAAATTTAAAGTAAAAATATTCAATTTTCTCTCAAAACTTATATTTCCTTAATCTCGCTTTTCGGGTGTTTTTTTTCCCAGGGAGAACGAAGAACACAAAAAGCCAAAAGAAGGTATTCGATCACTCTCTCTCTTTCTCTCTCTCTCTCAATCGATTCCGTTTTTCTTGTAATCCGTACGAAAATTGTTTTATGTTTAGGTATATTTAACGCATTTGATCGGTTATCACTAAATGCATGTTTGTTCTTGTCATAATTGCATGTGATCATGTGTTGAAGATTCAAATTCATGATGTTTTGGTTTTTATTGGAATGATAGTTTTCGGAATCTGTTCACTGTAATCTGTCCGAATTATTGATTTTCGTTCTTGGGGGAATTAACTAATACTGATTTGAAGTTTTTATGTTAATGTAATCTAATGCATGTACAGAGAATGCGTTAGTTTGGTTATGATACGTTTTTGTTAACAATTTGGTTAACAAACTGGATCTTTAGAAATTGGAGTCGTTGTTAAATCGAGGTTAAATTAATATGATTTTTGGAAACAATATTGTGACTGTTCTTGCTCGTTCGTTTTGAATTCATATTGTTTGTTAGTTGTTTCAATGATCCAACACACATAAAAACACGCGTAGAGGTGTTTATGAATGGCTTTTCTTTGTGACGGTGTCTTAGAGGTACTTTTATATATTTCTGTTTGTTGATATTTTGTTTTATGTGCTTGTGAATTGTTCTTTGTATAGGTGAAATATCGGAGGAACCCTTTTAATATACGGTTGATATCGATGATTGATGGGTAAAGGAGCCCAAAATCACGGGATGAAAGATAGTACAAGCCAAGCATCATCAACGGATCACAGTGTTTATGCTGCATGGGCAAAGGATGTGAGGGAATGTGAAGAGAAGTATCAGGTGAATAGAGAACATGGTCTATCTGATAGTGAAGTAGAGAAGCGGTTGAAGATCTATGGGAAAAACGAATTGGAGAAGCATGAAGGGCAGTCTATTATCTGGTTAATTTTGGATCAGTTCAATGATACTCTAGTTAGGATTTTACTTGCTGCTGCTGTGATTTCTTTTGTCCTTGCCTGGTATGATGGCGATGAAGGTGGAGAGTTGGAGATAACGGCATTTGTTGAGCCTCTAGTTATCTTTTTGATTCTAATTGTAAATGCGATGGTTGGTGTTTGGCAAGAAAATAATGCTGAAAAAGCTCTAGAGGCTCTCAAAGAAATTCAATCAGAACAAGCAACTGTGATACGTAATGGCAGAAAGATCTCAAGCCTTCCTGCAAAGGAACTTGTTCCGGGTGATATTGTGGAGCTTCGGGTTGGAGAAAAAATACCTGCTGATATGAGGGTCTTACAGTTAATTAGTTCAACCCTTAGGGTTGAACAAGGTTCCTTGACTGGTGAGAGCGAAGCCGTTGGTAAGTCTGCGAAGCCTGTTCCTGAGGAGTCTGATATCCAGGGGAAGAAATGTATGGTATTTGCTGGGACAACAGTTGTAAATGGAAATTGTGTCTGTTTGGTTACAGCTACCGGGATGAATACTGAGATAGGAAAAGTGCATTCTCAGATTCATGATGCCTCACAGAGTGAAGAAGACACACCATTAAAGAAGAAATTGAATGAATTTGGGGAAGTTCTGACTATGATAATTGGGTGCATTTGTGCACTGGTTTGGCTTATTAATCTGAAGTACTTTCTCTCATGGGAGTATGTTGACGGCTGGCCAACGAATTTCCAGTTTTCGTTTGAGAAGTGCACATATTACTTTGAAATCGCGGTTGCATTAGCAGTTGCTGCTATTCCCGAAGGTTTGCCTGCTGTGATTACTACTTGCTTGGCTCTTGGCACCCGTAAAATGGCTCAGAAGAATGCGCTGGTTAGGAAATTACCTAGTGTTGAGACTCTTGGATGTACTACAGTGATTTGTTCTGATAAAACTGGTACCCTGACCACTAACCAGATGGCTGTGACTAAGCTTGTTGCTATGGGGAATAGAGCAAATGCTGTTAGATCGTTCATCGTGGAAGGGACTACATACAATCCCTCAGATGGAAAAATACAGGACTGGCCAGCTGGGAAAATGGATGCTAATCTTCAAACAATTGAAAAGATTGCTTCTTTGGCTAATGATGCTGGCATTGAACGATCTGAAAAAGGTTATGTTGCGAGTGGGATGCCCACTGAGGCGGCATTGAAGGTATATGGTATTTGAATATCTCTTTTTTATTTGCACCACAGAGCTGATTCAATGAGAAGCACATATTAAATTGAGTTATGTTGATGCATGCCACCCAAAATGAAGTGTCGGGACTGAACAAATAATTCTATAACTGGCTTCCTTTTTCAGGTTCTTGTTGAGAAAATGGGACTTCCTGCTGAACTGGATTCCGGTTCATCTACAGGTTATATTGATATTGTGGCCAAGTCACCCGTGTTTTCTTGTTTGTCCTTTTTTCCTCTGTTACGTATATGTGCTAACATATTTTTCTGTATTTTGAGAAATGCAGGTTGTTCTGAAACATGGAACAAACTTGAACGCAGGATTGCCACCCTTGAGTTTGACCGTGACAGGAAATCTATGGGGGTCATTGTGTCGGCTAGTTCTGGAAAAAAGTCCTTACTTGTAAAGGTAAAACATTGGGTCAAATTATTCGGCTTCTTGATATGGTAGTCTAACATGGACAGTTCAGTGTTTATGATATGGTATTAATGTTCTAGAAAGCATTAAGCTGAGCACTTGCGTGATCTTCCAGCACTAACTGCTTAAACAGGGTTTTAGTGGATGTATAAGAAGTTCATATGAGCAGAAACATAGTTTTTTAGATATGTAAACATATGAGTGTCAAAATTTTGAAGTACTACATTGATACAATTACTTTTCTACATGGCCAGTCTTATTATTCTGTTGATACACCTGAGAGAAGTCAGATTGATTAACACAAGTTGAGAAAAATCAATTAATCTCCTTATAGTTTTTTGAAATGCTTAATTCAATATTTGTTGTAAATTGGAGCGGTGTGGGATGCGTAAGTTTTAGGTGGTTAGTTAAGTGGCCCTAATTAATCAAAGCAGTGGGGGACACCTAATGCCTAGGTGTCTGCTTAAGTAGGGATTTTTAGAACACTACTGGATATAATGCGATCGTTGATTCGTAAAAACTTGATGCTAGTCTTGAGCTACTAGCAATATATAAACTGTTTCTTAATGTTTGTTTCATGGAAGTATTAACACAATTGGTACTAAATTTGGATAGGGTGCAGTTGAAAATTTGTTGGAAAGAAGCACCTCCGTCCAGTTGGTTGATGGTTCTTCTGTTGAACTCGATCAAAGGGCAAAAGAACTTATTTTAGATAACCTTAATGAAATGTCGAGAGGTGCATTGCGTGTTCTTGGTTTTGCATACAAGGAGAATCCCCCAGAGTTTACTACATACAATGGCAATGAAGATCATCCTGCTCACGACCTTCTACTTAATCCAACAAATTACTCTTCAATTGAGAGTAACCTTACATTTGCGGGCATGGTTGGGCTGCAGGTGAGTGGAGAAGATGCTTTTATAGTTGTTTTGGTTTCTTAATTCTTATGCATTTTGGGAGGGTTTAGTATGCTAGACAGGACATGACAGAAAAGAACTTCTTGTCTCACGTTTGTCATGACATTAGACCGGGCAGGACATGGTTGAGTGGGGCAAAAATGTATTTTCTGTCTTGCAAAATAGGTGGAACAAAGATAAGAGATGTCGACAAGATTGGTAAAAATACTAAACTATCCATGTCAAAATAGAACTTTTTTTTCACCCGCCTACTTGACTCTTGCATGCCCAGTACATGTGCGTACCAAACACACCCTTATAGATTTATAGATATAAAAAACATTTCAACTTGACTGTTAGCTAATTTATCTGTCAAGGATCGACCTCGTAAAGAGGTTCGCCAAGCCATTGAAGACTGCAGAGCAGCTGGAATTCAAGTTATGGTAATAACAGGAGATAACAAGAATACAGCAGAAGCAATTTGTCGTGAGATAGGTGTATTTGGACCAGGCGAGGACATCAGTTCAAAAAGCATAACAGGAAAAGAATTCATGGAACTTCATGATCCAAAAGGTCACTTAGCACAGAAAGGAGGACTCCTTTTCTCTAGGGCAGAACCACGTCACAAACAAGAAATAGTGAGATTGCTCAAAGATATGGGGGAAGTGGTTGCAATGACTGGGGATGGTGTGAATGACGCACCTGCTTTGAAATTGGCTGATATAGGAATAGCAATGGGCATTGCCGGGACCGAGGTATTTTGTTTGTTTCCAAGATGTCTATTGTTCTTCATTTACATCTTATGACAACACTCGTTATAAAAATTTAATGCATACTTTTTGCTTAATTCATGTTTTCATACAACAAACGTATTGTACCATTGCTAGCATTGTTTCTTGAGGCAATATCAAAATAAATGGATCTTTTACTATGAGTTTTCTCTCTCTCTCTTTCCCTATGGAAGAATCTACAATCTGTTGGGTCTTCAAATCTATAGGTTGGTTATTTCCTTTTTAGGAGATTCTGTAATTTAAAATTCTTATTTTACTAAAGAGAAACTAGTCAAGTGATATCTGTTTAGTCTGTTCTCTTTAAGTGCTAACATTACAATCTGTTTCTTGAAACGAATGGTAAATAGCGGCATGAAAGCAACATATGTTTTATATTTATCGCGTTCTTGCATGTTTCTACCACCATTCTCCCTTTTCAACAAATAACCTAGAAAGTTCTGACTATTACTAGTCCATACACCAATGCTTATTGGCTATGCTGTTAGAATTGTTCTACAATAGCATCCTTGTTTAGTATCTATCCATTTTCATGATTTCATCACATCATACATTGATACTAGATATAAAAATTTCATCAATTTGTGCTCGACTTTTTGTCCAGGTTGCGAAGGAAGCTTCGGATATGGTCTTAGCAGATGATAATTTTAGCACAATTGTGGCTGCGGTTGGAGAAGGGAGGTCTATTTACAACAACATGAAGGCCTTTATCCGGTTAGTTTCTCTTCCTTCTCCGCCTCATTATTTTTTAAAATTCTACCGACTATCACCAGATCGACATATCACATTGCCAAGTCACCACCCCCACCTACATTCTCCGAAAACAAAGAGAATCAGAATGAAGAAGATAGGCTTCTATGCATGTGTCATGCAATGGCAAAAAGGGTCCATAAGATCCATATAGTGATAAATAAGAACAAATAGCCGCAAAGAAATGCAAGAAGAGCCAAGAAGATGCCAAGGGAGCCTAGGTTTTACATTAGTGAAAATGTAAAAGAAGCTTGAATAGGCTAAAATATCTTAGAAAGTTGATATGTGTTGGTAGTGGAAAGTAATGGTAGTGGAAAGTAATTTGTATTTCATTAACTTGACATAGGTATATGATCTCTTCAAATATTGGCGAGGTTGCATGCATATTTCTTACTGCTGCTATAGGGATTCCAGAAGGTCTTATTCCTGTTCAGCTTCTATGGGTCAATCTCGTCACAGATGGACCACCTGCAACGGCCTTGGGTTTCAATCCACCCGACAAGTACATCATGAAAAGGGCCCCTCGCAGGAGCGATGATTCCCTGATTAATGCTTGGATTTTAGTTCGCTATCTGGTATGAATTTCTCTTTGTAAGTTATTGCTTACTCATAACTAGATTTTCAAACTTTATCTTATCCGGTTTTCTCTCTTTGCCATACTTTTCATAAGTTGGGCTCTTCTTAGAAAAAACTACTCCACCCTTTGTGGTAAAAGTCAGGTTTGCATACATTATACCTCCAAACCCCACCTCAATTGGGATTTACGGAGTATGTTTGGTTTGGTTTATTTGGTATGCATTTCTCTTACACCACGCACATCGGACACCACCTTAGCCGCAATGTTGTATATGTGCCCGAGTTCCGCAAGTTGATCATTTTTGAATCCTAAATTCTCATCATTGATTTTATTTTGAAGATAAAGTCTTTGTTATTGCTCATTTTCTTAGTATCATGGATTTTTCCTTGTTTTATTCGTTTAAGCCATTTTTGACAACCGTAAGGTATTTTTTGAGCTTATTGAAAAAACCCTTTTGGTTAGCACTCCAATTACTTCCTTTACATTTTTCCAATTATTCTTTTTATCGGTCGTTTACATTGTCAGGTAATTTATAAGTTAGTTTGTGAAACATAACCTAATCTTCTTTTTTTGTTTTGTGGGTCCCATAAGCATAGGGACCCACCAAGTGAAAATGTTAAACCATTGAGGTTGTTTATAAGTTGCTACCATCTGATGTAGGTGATCGGATTCTATGTTGGAATTGCAACGGTGGGAATTTTCATCATATGGTTCACTCGGGATTCTTTCTGTGGTATTGACCTCAGCCAAGATGGCCACAGTCTTGTTTCCTACTCCCAGCTTTCAAACTGGGATCAATGCTATTCTTGGCAGAATTTTACGGTTTCGCCCTTCACAGCCGGAGAACGGGTCTTTAAATTCGATTCTGACCCTTGCGACTACTTCCGAAGCGGGAAAATTAAAGCCATGACACTCTCCCTCTCCGTACTGGTCGCGATCGAGATGTTCAATTCTCTAAATGCCCTTTCGGAAAATGAAAGCCTGCTGACTATGCCACCTTGGGTCAATCCATGGCTACTTCTGGCAATGTCGGTATCGTTTGGGCTTCATTTCTTAATCTTATACATTCCATTTCTTGCACAAGTTTTCGGGATCGTTCCTCTAAGCGTGAACGAATGGCTGCTCGTCTTGGCCGTAGCTTTTCCTGTAATCTTGATTGATGAGATCCTCAAGCTTATAGGCAGATGGAACGATGGGGCTCAAGAAATCTCAAAGTCTTCTAAGCATAAGGCAGAATAAGAACGAAATCTGGTTTGTTGGGGGTAATATTGTCATTTTTATTTTTGAAAAAAAAATTATGGTATTTTTTTTGATAGAAGTTAGGATTAATTCGAATCCTAGAAACTGGAATATATTTGAGGAAATCACTCTCAGTTTTACGATATTTTAATAATTTCTTTATTTACTTATACTATATTAAAAAATAGGAGTTACAACCATAAGGTGGTGCCTGATTGGTTTGAGCTTAGCTCCAAAGGTTAAAAGTACCACGAGGTTCCAGTTTCAAATCCAAGGAAGAATAAAAATCCCTTTGTGACCACAGATGTTCAAATACGGTGACTGCGAGTTATCTGTAAGGCAGGTGGTCGTCCTGAGATTAGTCGGCTTGCATAGCGGATTTGATATCCAAGTTAATCAAAAAAGAAAAGAAAAAAGAAGAGGAGTTACAGTTATCTTGAAATTTTTAAGAGATACAAGTTTTTATGCTAAACGTATAAACTTTAAAGCTTACAAAACCTCCTATGTCTCCCATCTATTAAAAATCAAATCATTTTTAATTTTTAAGTTATACTTTATACCATTTATAATTAGTTATATAATTTATTTTAAAATGAGAAGAATAAGAAGAGATTTGGACCCTTAATCACTTTTAATCCCAAAATAACCCATGCATGACGATTTAAAAGGGAATTGATCTAGTGTATCTCATTAGTGTTGATCTAGTGGTTTTTTTCAATTAGGATTGATCCAAGGGTGGAGATTCCACTATACCCTTCTTACTATAGTTTTCATTCTCGTTGGAACCCAACCTCATATGTATATGTAGCCATAGGTTATTCTGAGAATGGTAAATATTTGAGAAAGAAATGATTCTAGCCATTCATAAGATCAAGATCGAGTTCGACTTGTCAAGAATTGCGGGTTTGACTGGTCAAGAATTGCGCTTTGACTGGTCAAAATTTGCGGCTACATAAAAAAGAGAGGGGGTAGTTTTGTAACTTTTACAAATAGGCGGCAAACGAGTTCATATTTAAACCCGTATGATTCACATATAAACAATTTTAACTGATTTACATATAAACCCGTGTGATTTACATATGAACTAATGAACTAATTCATATATGAATCATTGTGATTAACATATGAACTAATTAACTGGTTCACATATGAACCCATGTGATTCACATATAAACTGATTAATTGATTTACGTATGAACTCGTGTCAGTGGTTTTACATGTGAATCAATTAAATAGTTCACATGTGAACTAATTAACGGGTTTACATATGAACATATAGTTCATACGTGAATCACATGAGTTCACATATAAATCCGTTTGCCGCCTATTTGTAAAAATTATGAAACTACCTTTTATCTTCCGCATACCCATCCAATGAATTATCCGGTGCTTCACAGTCAAAGCCACAAATATTGACTAGATGAAGTGTTAAGATGACTTTTTTACTTCTCAAATACTTACCACTTCTCAAATGAACCTTTTTTTTTCTCTCTCTCTCTATATATATGTGTGTGTGTGTGTGTNTGTGTGTGTGTGTGTGTGTGTGTGTGTGTGTGTTATATTTCCCCCAATTGAGCGCGTCTAGCATATTTTTTCACAGTAACAGGATCACTATAACTGACTCCATTGAGTTCACCACCGTAGAACTCAACAGTTACACCTACTTGTTCGACACTATACTTAGATTCTGCCCTTCGAAAAGGAACATCGGCTCTAACAATCCCGTCTCCGTCTATTAAGACGACCGAAAATGTTTCAAAAAAGGTAGGCATACGACGTACAAAAAGTTCACGCCCTTCTTTATCTCTAAAGATAGGAAACCATCCAACCGCTATTCCATCCCCGTTATCCATTGAGCCTGCCCTGAATAATCCCCCTTTTGCCGGATTATTTCCGATGTAATCATAAAAGGCTAATTTTTCGGGAATTTTAGACCAAGCTTCTGATAAACTTTGATTTTTGGCTAACCCAGCACTGTGTGTGTGTCTCTACACACACACACACACACACATATATATATATATATATATATAAAGGATTGGGTTCCGGTAAGAAGCGTAAGAAGGGATCTTCACCTCTGGATGCACATTAGAATAAGATGCACCAGATAAATTCACATAAGAAGCGAAATTCATGGATGGGCAAGAGATTAAAAATGATCGAGGGTCCATATCGCTTTTTACGCTTCTCAACTTAACTCTCATTCTCACACGACCCTTCACACACACACACACACACACACACACACACACATATATATATATATATATATATATATTGGGAGTTTGAAATACAAACCATTCAATTCTTACAAACCATATATACAAAGCACGATCAATACTTACCTTAGGAAACAATTGAGATATTTATGGAAGATAGTAGAGTTTATTTATTATGCTCACTGCTTTAGATTAGGAAACAATCAAAATATTTAAAGAACCATATATTCTTTGGGCTAGATGGATAGTCAAGCATGGTTTGTAAAAATTGAATGATTTGTACTGGAAATCCTCTCTCTCTCTCTCTCTGTGTATAGAGAGAGGGGGGGGGGGAGGGGGGAATTCAAACTAGAACAACCAAATAAAAGAACACGAAAATGGTAAACCACATACAAAATCACATGTGATTTTACACTAATCGTCAACACAAAGGTGAGCTGATGACATGACCCGTGACCTCAAGTCGCGACCAAAATCACATGAATCTAATTGATTTAGCTGATGACATACAAAATCATATGTGATTTGACTGTTTTATTAGTTAGTTACTATTCTTGTATAACCCTGAGTCTCTTTCCCCGCCTCTCTCTCTATATATATATATGTGTGTACATATATATATATATATATATATATAGAGAGAGAGAGAGAGAGAGAGAGAGAGAGAGAGGTGGTTTATTTTACAAACCACACTATTGATAAAAACTGTACGAAACAATCTCGTCCATTGATTTCATTGATCTACGGATGAAATGAAGCAACAATATTTTTGGTAACAATTTGGAAATCGATAGAAAAACAGGAGGGGAGAGAAGATCGAAATCAAAATAGATTCGAACCACAAAGACAGAAACTGGGACGAAATCAAACCATAGGTTCGAACCATGTACAACACAGGAACGAAATCGACAAAAAAAATAGGAGGGGAGGGGAGATCACTTGTTGATTGGATTTGATATCGATTTGGGTCAAGATCGATTCAGAGCCATATGAACTTAGAGTCTTCAAGATCGATTTGGTTGATGGAGGCGTGGTAAGCGGTAGGCGAATAAGAGGGAATTAAGAAGTTGGGTTACCTCTTCTTTGTCCATACCCCTATTAAGAGGTAAGAAGTTCCGAAAATGAAAAACAAAGAGTCTTGATTGCAAAATGTCTAACCGAATTAGACTTAAGTGGTAGCTAAATAAGATAGTAAGATAAAAAACGGTTGAATCACATGTGATTTTATACTAAAATCACGTTTAAAATCACACATGATTCACGTGACTTTAGTCGCAGGCCATGTCACACACACACCTTTTCGTTGGCTGTAAGTTTGAAATTACCCAAAAAGAAGGGAGCTACTTCTGAGTTAAACTTGGAGATGGAAGTCTTCTTTGACATATGATTTAACCGTTTTCGTATTCTTTTATTCATTTGAACCCCCCCCCCCCTTCTCTATATATAGTCTGGTTGAGATTATAAAACAGTTGAATCACATGTGATTTTTGTATAAAATCATCACATATGAATCACGTGTTACACAAGGGTTCCAAGTTCTATCCCAAACCTGTGGTTGTGGCTTCATGGGGTTTGATATAGTCGTCTGTGAGGTCTACTTTGTGGAATCTTTAATTTACAACAGTTTTGCTTCTGGTTCTTTAGTGATGTGTTTTTATCTGAAGCAAAAGAATCTGAGAAACTTTCAAGGTTCTTATCTAACAGCATGCTGACAAAATGCATACCAACTCCCATTTATCGTCGAAAATGCAACTAGCATATATATATATATATATATATATATATATATGGGTATTTAGATAGAAATGCAACCATAGTCTTTAGCTTTACTGCTGTCTGTATATGACTGTGGTCACTACCATCGTTGTTTTCTTATAAAATAGATAAAAAAAGGCCCCAAAAAGATGTAAAATATTGTCTTAATTGAACATTTATATATTGCAGGCACTATAATCTTCCAAAATTAAGAGACAAAAAGGTGACGAATTTTAGTTCATGTTTGATGCAAATTCCAGAATTTAGGTGTGGTTTGCTTGGAAAAAGTCATGGCGAAAAATTCAGCTGGGGTCCTTTGCTTGATTTACTGGATCGTTACAGTAGTATTTATACGTGAAACCAGAAGCTTGATGAGTCCACAGATACACGGCAATGAGCTTCTTGAAGCTTTTCTTCGCTCTAATCATTCTTCACGCTCATGGCGCTCAAATGCTCACTCGAGCTGCTGTTTTTCGTGAGTACATTGGGGCTAACTTCAAAAATGTCCGATTTTCTGATGTACCCGTAAACCCTAATATCGATGTCCATTTCATTCTCTCTTTTGCCATTGATTACACCACGGGCTCCTCTCCGTCACCCACCAATGGAAGGTTCAATGTCTTCTGGGATGATGAAAATCTTAGCCCCTCTCAGGTCCTTTCAATCAAGCGCCAACATTCGAATGTTAAGGTCGCGTTAAGCCTTGGAGGGGACAGTGTGGAAGGTAGACATGCTGTTTTCACGGCTTCTTCGATAGATTCGTGGGTATCTAACGCTGTTTCTTCTCTTACTCGAGTTATAAAACAGTATCATTTAGATGGAATCGATATCGACTACGAGCATTTCGAAGGTGCTAGTCCTAACACCTTTGCACAATGCGTTGGCCGGCTTGTGACGATTCTAAAGAACAATCGAGTCATTTCATTTGCTTCCATTGCTCCATATGATGATGGCGAAGTTCAGAGGCACTACTTGGCTCTATGGAGGAGTTATGGACGTGTTTTCGACTACGTTAACTTCCAGTTTTACGCTTACGATAAGGGCACCACTGTGGCTCAGTTTCTGAGTTACTTCAATACACAGGCATCTAATTACAACGGTGGCAAGCTGTTAGTCAGCTTCAGCACTGATACGAGTGGCGGTTTGAAGCCATACAACGGCTTCTTTACAGCCTGTGAGAAGCTCAGAAGTCAGCGAAAACTCAATGGCATCTTTGTTTGGTCTGCAGACGACTCCAAAGCCGGTGGATTCAAGTACGAGAGGCAATCACAAGCACTGTTAGCCAAGCCTCAGTAGAAAAGGATATTAGAGTAATGGGTGCTTTCGATTAGTATCAGTTTGCTGATAGTTTAGTTTTATATGTTTCTTTGAGTCTTTCTTTCCTATGTAATATTTGAGCTTTCGGTTGGAGCTTAATAACATTCGCTACAAAATGAATTTTACCCACAAAAATTACTCAGGAAAATTTCCGTCACCGATGGATCACTGAGAGAATAGCAATGGTTCAGTAGAGTCGGATGTTTTTAAAGAAAATAACAATGGATCACTCAAAAAATCCCTGGGTAGTCTGTTATTGATTTGAATTATCTACCAACTTTTGTGATGATTTTGTGACGAATCATCCTTTAGGGACATATTTTCCGGGACTAGTCTGTAGGCAAAAGTCTTTCATTTTAGTAGTGATATGAAATTGACCCTTCTTGTTTTGTATAAATCAAACTAAACCAAATCAAAACCACCGAGTAAATTCCATAAATGTCATTATGAATGCATGGTCGAGTCGAAGGGTGTATCAATGTGAGATTCTGAACAGGTTCTCCAAAAAAATTCAGAGACCCCGAAATACCTTCTCTCTTCTACTGGAATTGGTGATTCGCTAGTTCTCAATTACGACTACAAATCTGCAATCCCTTCTCCTTAGGTCTCTAATTTGATGATTGACTTATCCTAGCCGGCTAGTCACATTTATCTTAACTACCCAATGACTAATTTTTCGATTGAAGTACCAAGAACGTCTTTGCTTAATAATCTTCCTCTTTCATGTTCTTTGTTTCTCCCTTTCTAGTTTGACGAGCAACCTCACCTGCAATTTTTTTGATTTCATTCGTCATGATAAAATACCTTTGTTAATATAAGTATAGCTCTTTAGAAACACAAAACAGGTTAAGAGTTAAGGAAGAATATAACCTTAGAGTTGAAATAAGACTTCAGATTTCAGCACCTCTTAAAAACAAATGCCACCTTAGAAATTTTGCATTCGAATTTGAGAATATCATTTCTAGTTGTGTTGTTGGGGATTTGTATCATAAAACAATGAATTATGTAGCATGCATAAAACTTGAGATTACGCAAAGAGCTTGCTTTCCTTAGTTGTAAGTCAGACCATAATCTGTCTGAGTATCACGAATGCAATAGAATAATCTCAAATCCATGTTTCAATTTTGGCAGTAATGATTACATTTTGAAACTTGGAATTCGTAACCATTCATATATTAATATCGTGAATAACGTACTCCTCATTAATGAAAATGATTGCTAGAAATAAAAAGTGGACGATTATTGAAAGAGCAGTTACAAATCTGATAGAATACGCTTATCAACTGAACTTGTCAGTAGGAAACCATCAACTGATAACCCATCTGTACATTCATTAGCGTCCACTCTCTTAAATTTTATTCTTGTTTTGAGCGCTACCCCTTGTACCCACACCATAATGTGCCATGCAGTCGATCACATGTTCTAATTAACTACCTGAGTGTGCACTTCCTTTTAGCCGTCCGTGTTGTAGCTTAACTAGTCACTACATAATTTGTTATAAGCCCAACTACACAAATAGATCGATAATTTTACTAAAATCACCAACATTTCTCACAAAAATAATTCTATCGAGAGCTAATTTGGTCAACAATTACCGTTCAACTTTTACCAAAACGGTGACTTTTGATAAAAAATAGTTTAATTTTAGACATCATCTTTTTCGAAATTACTTAAATTGTCCTTGTGGTATTCGCAAATTCTGAAAATTGCCAATACAATTTTGAAATTACACCGACACTTCAAATGTTTTATTTGCTTACATCCTTTGTACATGACCTTATTTTTTAGCGTCAAATGCATGAAATAACAACCTACTTTCATAATTTTTGTTATTGTAATATTCTGCTTTTGTTTTTCTTTATTACAACAATGTACTTTCAAATTATTTTTATTAAGTCATCGTACTTTAAAAAATCTACCTATTATAGCAATGAGTAACCTGTTACCTTTTAAACCGGTTAACCCTTTGATTTTTTTTTTGCTTGTGTAACTTTAATGAGGTGATGTGGATGACACATCATTTTGATTGCTTAATTAAAATAAAAATAAAAACATATTTCAAATTATTATTAGTGATTTTCATTTTTCATTGTTATAATTTGAAAACACTTAATTTTTTTGACTTTTTCTTATTAAGTTGCATGCAAATTAAATATTTTAAAGTAAAATATTTCTTAATAAATATGTTACATTATTTTTGAGATATATTTTGTTTGTAAAAAAAGTAACACTTCTTATGTTATGTTGTTCAAAAAAATTCATATCTTTTTTTGAAGTATATAATATTTATATACGGCAAATGCAACAAATAAACTCACACACACTCCTCACAAATATATGGTGAGGTTTAAACCCCTGATCTTCTAGAAGGCCAATCTTTTAAAGTTCTCTTTAAAATGTTAACGAAATATATTGTGTTCTACAATTTTTTAATATTGTTATTAATAAATAATTCAAAAAAATCTAATTAATTTAATATATTTATACGTCAAGTAAATTTTTTAGAACAAATATAATATATTCTTGAAATATATATTTTTTTAGTAAAAAAGGAACAATTCTTATTTTCTTTTTTCAAAAAACACATATTTAAAAAAAATATTAGCTAGATAAGTTGTCTTCTACTAGTTCTGTTACTATTGGTATATTAATGAATAATTTAGATTTTTTAATTCATTTAATATATTTATTAAATAACATGTAAAATATCTAAATATTAAAATTAAAAGTACATTGTTTAATAATAACTAGTTGATGTTATAATAAAATAATTTTGAAAGTATAATGTTGTAATAAGAAAGTCACATCACTATAATATATGTGGACAACCTACGTGGACAATGAGCTGGCATGAAAACTTGGTATAATGAGTAAATTTAAATCAAAGTTTATCCAATGCTATAATAGGTAAATTTTTCAAAGTACAATATTCTAATAAAAAATAGTTTGAAAGTACATTGTTGTAATAAGAAAAACTGAAAGTATAATGTTATAATAATTTTTTTTATTAAAGTAAATTGTTATTTTGTGCATTTTACCCTATTTTTTTAACGGGCATTACGACATCCTTTAAGTGCCCCTAACGTGTAATCACTTAGCATTTTTAGTGTAATATATAATGGAAATGTACAAGTATTTATAGTTAAACAAACATAAACCTAACCCTTACCATCCCTCCCTTTCCCTCATATTCTTCCCTGGTAGAACCATGTATATACTCTAAACCACATGATTTCTTATATCTATCTATATTTAAGTACATACATACACACACACATATATATATATATATATATATCTATACTACATATATAAGCATTTAAGTCATTGTCTTAATTACAACTCTTAAAGCATAGAGTACAACCATTTTATGCAAGAAATTTAAAAAACTCTTAATTACAAATTTTTATACACAATGTACAAGCCATTTATGCAATATCTCACAACCCACAACCCCAAATGTTAATTGGGTCAAACCCACCTTTTTCTTATCAGACTTTTAAAAATACCCTTTTGGGCCGATATCTCCTTCTTCAGAATTCTATCTCTGCAACTAAAACCACAAGATCAAAAGCTTTCTTCTTCTTTCTTCTTCTTTCTTCTTCTATCATTTTTGTCACATACGGATCAAAACAGTTTGGGATAGATAGCCGATAACTTTCTTCTTTACAGACCTCGTTTAACATAACAATGATGGTTTTGATGTATCATCTCGAGCAGATGTGCGATTTCATGAATCAAGGGGATTTGATGTATCACAACCTCATCGATACATATAACTCCCTCCTCCCTGTTGATTTAATCTCACAAGTTCTTCAAAACCCTAGAATTTGGAGGTATGCTTTCAAGACAATATTGTTTTCAATTTCAATTTTGATTTTTCCAACCATATGAGATTTTAATTTCCTTTCTCTTATTTTTGGTCTAACCGATTGATGAAGCAAGGCTATTTACAACTTTGAGGTAAGAATCCTCAAGAATCCTCTTTTATTGATAATTTTGCTTAGTATGCGATTGATTGATAATGTTTTCATATATTATGTCATATGTATTTGTGAAGTTTGGTTATAAACCGCTGCCATCCTCATTTTGTTTTTGATTTCATCTAATAGACACACACACACCTGGCCACTCATTTTGTTTTTGATTTCATTTTGTTGTTGTGTGCCCAGTGTGTGTGTTTAGATACAACWACTGTTACATGTTCATGTAATAATACTGCTTATTTTGGTTCATTCTTATTCTAAATTGTATGTGTTCTAAACATGTTCTAAACCCATGTGCCAACACTACATACAACTATCTTCATAAATTGTTCACACATACTTGAACCGAGCCTGCTGTATATGTAGTATATGGTGGTACATATATAGCTTTCTGTTGATGTGAGCATACCAACAAAGGTCTCATATGGAACTTTCTTATTTTTGGTTTTGTTTGGAATTGTTCAACTATTGCTGCAACCATGTCCTTCACCTATTCTGTTGCTGTCAAAATGAACATATTCTGTTGCTGTCAAAATGAACATATATATGTTTACCTGATTTTGATATTCAGGTAAAGTATTGGGACAAACATCAAATTCATGAGCATGAAACATCAAACGAAAGTATATGTTTACCTTATTTGATGTGTGTGTGTATGTTTATAGACCAGTAGCAACATACACACAACAACTGTTCCATGTGTGTGTATGTTTAGATACAGCAGCAACCATAGGTGAAATGTGTGTGTATGTATTGTACTCCAAATAGAAACAAGTATAGGTGAAATATGTGTGTTTGTTTAGATACAACAACAACCTATTTTCATTTATGCTTTCTTTGTGTGTGTGTGTGTGTGTGTGTATTGGCATAAATATTTGAGACAGTTGGTGCTGGCATGTGCATAACACACATACACACACCATGAATGGTGCTGGCATGTGCATAACATAGACACACACACACACACACATACACACAGAGACAGACACACACAGAATGGTTGGGTGTTGTTTTATGACCCTGTGGATACTAGAATCATGTTAAATCATGTATTGTTAAATCATGTTTTTGGGCCTTATGATATTTTGTTTTGTTTAGCCGTATGCATTGCAAAACAGAACCTGGTTCTGGCACTTT